GATACTTGGCTCTCAATAAAAGAGGCGTTTTTTTAAGTTGCTATGATATCATGCATCTAGTCACAGCATTTTGCACCAGCTTTCCAACCAGTAGATGTGATGCGGAACCTGCCAAAGCATAATCCCAAATACCAGTAGAAACTCGAATAATCGAACCGTGTGCTATGAAGGTGGGAATCCCTTACTTCTGAGAAGGGGGGAAAAACACGGCAAAAAGCGGGCTCCTCAGCCCCTCCGAGAGACATGAAAAAAACAAAAAAAAGACGGGACCATACCTAAGGAGGCAACCCCAATGATATAGCACACGGTTCGATTATTCGAGCTTCTACAGGTAACTTATATGTCTTTTCGTCCTGCATCGCACGATTAGGTTCGCCCCGCTTCTTGTTGCTCTAATTTCTTGTCTAAACATCATCCCTGCGCTACCGAACCGAGCCTCCCGCACCGCAGACGGCCCGGGGCAAGTTCATGCGGTTACAAGTACTTGTGCTAGTCGCTCCTTCCCCACTTGTGCTAGTCACTCCTTGCCCGATTCCGATTGGGGAGGGAGGTCGTATCACATCCCCGGATTTGTGCGCCGCGATAAGCATCACGGCTAAAATCTCGGAAGGGGGGCTGTGTGCCCCCCCCTCAACCCACGCGCATAATTTCCCCGCACTGGCAGCCGCTCCCGATGCGAGAGGCGACAGTTCCGGTAATGCAGCGGGTCGCATTGACGCTTCCTGGGTAAAAGTAGAGAGCGATAGTTTGCTTGATGCGGTGGACACAATTATCGCTTCCCTCTTGGCATGCGAGGTTTTGCCGTGGGGCACGACGGTTGCCAATAGGATTTTCCGTTTTTTGGGTTTTGCCCTTGGGTACCCGGAGCCGTGCATAGTGTTAGCTCACACAACAGCATTAGCGCCTTTGCTTATCGTAGTCGCGGACAAAAAAAAAACACCAACTTGTTCGTGATTGCTATGGCATTAGAGCGATACGCCCTTCAGCGGTGCGTGAGTGAAGGTAGCTTTTTGTGCATGATGCGCTCTCGAGCGGCCACAATGAGGCTGTTGATCACATGCACGATGGACGTTATCAGCGATGGGCGCCATGGGTTCTCGGGAAGTCCTCGATTTTTTTTTCTTTTTCCCCTTTGACTGGTTCATAGAGGTTTCATGACTAGCTTCTCAAGGATTGCCCCATCCCTTGCGGGAAGGGTAGAAAATGTTGCAACAGGGGCCATCAAGCCGTGGATGCACTCCAGATGGGTTCGGATGGGAATTTGTAATTAGAGCTGAGTGGCCCGAAATCTCGACCAGAACACATCCAGACTCCTCCGGCCCACGCAGGAAGATCGTGGGTGGGGCCCCTGGTTGTTTGGACAAGATTGGAGATTACTACCGAACGTCGTTAGTCTACGCGCTCTCTATCCCCTAGGGCCGCCGAGGCGGTTCGGGCAAAGGTAACTTCTTGAATACTGCTGGTAGCTTATCGGAGTGGTTGGGCAACCGAGAGTAACGTGCGAGTATTAGGCCCCGGTTGGCTTGCGCCTTCCGTAAGGTGAAACGATATACAGTGCATTTTTCAAGGTTTCCTAAAATGTATTCTGTGGGGTCAGCAAAGTGCATTTGATAAGGTGAAGTTTGCCAAACATCAAAAGTGACTTTTATAAGGCTGGAGCTAAAAAACAATGCATTCTTGGCGGGGGCCCTGTGCATTGTATAAAAATAAATATATATATATATATATAAAATACTACATAATTATCTTAGATAAAAATATAATAGCCGGTTCCCCTCCTATTTCGCTGTCGCTCATAGTCGGGCAAACCAAGTGTGACACCAAAGCAAGTGTGACACCTCAACTTTTTTTTTTTTGTCTTGAAAAGGCCCACACAATACCACCAATAACTACATACATCGTCTTTCCTAAGGTTATAAGGCTTTCATTCCAAGATAGAGAATTAGCATTCCTAATAGTTAAATCAGTTGATATGCATAAACAATTATCTGAATTTAATTCACCACTCAAATACTTACCATCATCTCCTATACTACTGCTACCTATCTCAACATTTCTGATATTTATCTTACTAGCTTTGTCTCTTCTCTTATAAATACTCTACTTTTTGATTTCTTCTTCTATCCTTTACAATCATGGATCAATTACACTAAATATACTAT